AAAGCAGCAGCTCCTCAGACTCCAGCAGTAGCGATGAAGATGCCAGCAGTTCCAGCTCATCTTCCTCGGGGACACCTCTGACTCAGACTCCAACTGAGCTTTGTTTATTCCTAGATGGTGGGACACAGAACTTCCCAACAGAAGTCTTTGGCATCTATGTACATTGAAGGGCTCTTCTCCCTGTCTCTTTTTATTGCTTTACTTCTTCCTTCTTTTCCCCTCCTCCTCCTCAATACAGAGTAGGATGGGTTGGGAAGCAGGGAATTGGGAAAAAACTCTCAATATCAGGTCCACACACCTGGGAAGAGAGGTTCCTGCTGGGAGAAGAAATATATCTAAGCCTGTATTGGGTCCCCCTACACCATCAGTACCACTCCCTCTAGGAGCCCCAAGCAAAGAAGGATCTTGAAACAAAAAGAGATGATTGGGCAGCTGTGAAGAGCACACTGCACTGGACTGCGTATTTGTGAAGAAATAAGTTTTCCTTTCCTCATTTTCTGTCTGCCAGAAGTGGTGGAGGGCCACCATGAGCCTGTGACGCCTACATTCTCTGCAAGAACTCTACCTCTGGACCCTTATACTACATCTGCTGTGAGGAAGGAGTTGCCATTCTAAATGTGAGAGTGGGCAGCACCATGTAGCAGGCAATATTTATACATGAATATTTAACTCTGACATCCAAGAGACTTTCTTACTAATTTCAAATAAAAATATATATTCTAAGTTTAGCTATTTCATTTGAACAAGGGCCTCCATGGAATAAATGTTTTATAATTTGGAGCACTGCTTCTCCAAATAGTGTCTGCATTTGTTCTTGGAAAAACCTAAATTCCTTCCTTTTGCTCCAGGTTCAAGTGAATCTCCTATTTAGCTATCAGGGTTGATGGATGTATGAGTGGATGTATGAATGCAGGGATAGATAGATAGATAGATAGATAGATAGATAGATAGATAGATAGATAGATAGAAATATAAACATACCTGGATAGCCCTGGCTGGTGTCCTCAGTGTTTAGAGCATTGGCCTACACTCCAAAGGGGCTTGAGTTCAATTCCTGATCATGAGCACCTACCTGGGTAGCAGGTTTGATCCCTGCCCCCAGTTGGGGTGTGTTTGGGAGGCAACCAACTGATTTTTCTTTCACATAGGTTTCTCTCTCTCTTAAAAGCAATGGAAAAATATCCTCAGGTGAGGATTAACAAAAATAATAAGGTATGTGGATAGGTACAAAGAGAGATACATAGAAAGACATAGACGTGTAAATATACACTGTTCTGTTCTGCCTGCGAATTACTGAGGCAGGACCACGTTGCTTTGATGATTTGGTTGGCAGATATATTTGAAATCTATTTAAGGTGAAATTAAATTAAATCCTTCCCCCCTGTATATTCCTGGCTATTTCCATATTGTGTTCTCATAAATATAAGCAAAATAAAATAATTGTATCATTTTTATATGAAAACCATTAAATTTTCAGCATTTAGATAGCTAGATATCTTAGTGAACTATTAAGTGTTTTTCTAGATAAAGTTCATTTTACAAAGTAAAGGCAGCATTGACATGTTTCATACCTCTAATCCTTTCTCTTTCTAACAGTGTTGGTTGGAATATTCAGAACAATGTTAAGTAATAGCAATGACATGTGCTTGTCTTGCTTCAGACTTTCAAACTCACGTTCAAAGGACTTGCAACTATTGAAATTATGCTGATTAATATCATATTTAAAATAAACTATATAACCTATTCAGAAAATGCCTATGTGTTTATATTATTGTTTTCACTGCATAATGTGTATTATTATTTAACACACAATTTCTATCATCCACTCAGAGTGGACCCAGGAGGAGCGCTGGGTGATGTGTCTGAGCACCTGGAAAGGTATCCCATTCCTCTGCTCCACTTGCAGGAGCATCTGAACTGCCTGGTGGTGGCCATGCTGCAGAGGGCCCAGCAAAGGGGTGGTATAGATGTCAGCCAGCGGGTGGCACCTGGGCCTGGCTGCAGCCTGGTTTTCATTCTGTATTCCTGTATGTATGCGTGTGTGTGTGTGTGTGTGTGTGTGTGTGTGTGTGTGTGTGTGTTTATTTTTCTCAAGTTAGATTCAGGTATAAACCCCAACACTCTAAGATACCTCAGATCTATTCTTTCCATTTTCTCTACCTGTGTCTTCATTCTTTTATTTCTCCTCCATTCTTTACTACCCATTCCTTTACATATTTTACTCTCATAGCATGCTTTATGTGTAACTGTTTGGATGCATAATTTAAATATAATTTCGAACCCCAGTGAGGTTGAGACATCCCCGGTGAGGTTGAAACGGCCCCGTTGAGTTTGAAATGGCCTGGTAGGATTGAGACGGCCCCGGTGGGGTTGGGACGGCCCAGGTGAGATTGAGACGGCCCTGATGAGATTGAGACGTGCCCTTGAGGTTGCGATGGCCCCTCTGAGGCTGGGATGGCTACTGTGAGGCTGGGACAGCCCCTGTGAGGTTGGGACAGCCCCTATGAGGCTGAGACGGCCCCTGGGAAGCCGAGAAAAATACCACATGACCTCACTCATTTATGGATAATAAGGACCATTATAGACTGATGAACAAAAATGGAACCAGAAGCAGAGCAGCATTGAGCAGAATGTCAAACTACAGTGGGAAGCCAGGGGAGGGTTGGGGGGTGGGGTAGGAGATCAACCGATGGACTTGTATGCATGCATATAAT